CGTTGCACAATGATGATAATGATGTTCACATGGATGCTGGTCTCGAAGATAATGATAATGGGCGTGAAGATGATGGTGACCTTCATGGTTTTTGGGATTCAGTAATTGTATTTACAAAGTGGAACCTCTTTATCCAGATCTCCATTGTTGACTCGCTGAACTTCCTTCTTGTCATGTGCCTAACAAAAATCTACGACTATATGAGAGTATTGAAATGCATTAGTGATCATCGAGGACAAGTGAATTTGTTCTGGGAGGTACAATCAAATCATGTTCCGTTGACCCTATAATCATAAACAGATACAGCGGAGCAGTTTGCGAGATCTAGATTATGATACTGCATTGGTCACAAAGGAAGGTATACAGAATCGAATAGCTACAACTGTTTCCCTCCGATGATCAGGATATTTGAGATTTAAAGGCATTATATACGAAACATGTATCTCCAAATAAATGTTCTTAAGTGGCTTCTTTTTCTGTCAACTAAAAGAAAATTGTCTCCCGGGAAAAGGTATCTGTAATTCTCCTCCAAGATATACCAGTCCCTAGGAAGATTTCACGTAAACCAGTTTGCATATTTCCAGTAGTAGTTTATAGGAAGATGTTCCAAACGATAAAGTTTTATTGCATTGTGTGTGCTACGTTTGCCAGAATAGAACGTTTTACAACTGGTTGTTTTAAATCCCGACATGAAAGAAAAATGACCAGCGGGCGGGGGACCTTCTCGTGTGTGTTTTAGCCACACAACCCTATTTGATTAAAATGTGCAATGGTTGAGCCGACTCGTGACGGTTTTGCAACTTCTAGGCACTGATCACTACTCCAAGTAACCCACTAATCAGCGCACGGTTTTCACAACAATGTTTGTATATTCGGGTCTCTTTAACTGATTCTTCCTGGGCACCTGAGTTGAATGGTAGTTGGCTCCTGATAGCATCAACATACAAACAGACTGTGAACAGGAAAAAGGTGTAAGATGCATGTATGAAAACAGCTTACTTCCTACCTCCTGAGAAACTATCACGTCAACTCACTCTGCATTTATTTTAAAACAAAGATAGGAAAACGATAGCATTTACCACTTTATCTTAGTCAATTGCACACTGTTTAACTGAAGGATGCAAGGCCAGTACATATTATTCTTTCTTCTGTTGCATTCTTTTCAAAAGCTAATGCTTAATAAAAGTGTCTCTATGTGCTGAACATAAACAGATACCGCTTCATAATGAAAACTAATGACTTTTGTTTTCGGTTTCCTAATAGATTTTGGTGGCGAAACTGCAAGTAATCCAAATACTCAATCATTATTGCGATACGTCTTATTTAATCCGTACTGTCAGCAACCTGTTTCCATTGAAGCAGAAAAAAAATTATTCCCTGGTGCTTATCGAAAGTGAAGAGATTTTTGATTACGTTTACCAGCGGGCATTGAAACGGGGGTCCTGTTTGGATTAGACTTGGATTTCGATCGATTGATCATGGGCTAATATCACCAGGATGTTTGGATGCACACGGAAAAGGACAAAGAAAGCACTAAATCAACCGCAAGAGGGTGAGGTAAACCGAGGCGAAATACCATCTTGTTACCTCAGGGCAGCATTTGATGCAATCCCATTTTTCGGATGAGTGGTTGCTATCTACCATATCCAACAATAAACGGATCAAACCAGTTGATAAATAAAGATGAGCCGTATCATGCTGCCCGTGCTACGGAGACAAACATGCCCGCAACTCAACACGAGCAGCGGACACATTACTTTGGTGCGACTATTTGCCATCCTTATTGCTTAGTTTCTGCAGTAACATATACAGAAGAATCTTTCAGTAGGTGAAACACCAAAACGATAGGCCAAAAATATGATTATCACGACTTCAAATAGTAGGCATAAAACGCCAACCCATCAGTTGTATTGAGATGAAGAAGCAAGACAAAATTTCTCAGGCCGTGCACAATATGGGACACGTGATTAAGATTGTGTATCTAGTCACATTCTACTTCTGCCAACCGTTGCACCCGATGCTGAAATCGAATGAGCGTGTATCAGTGAACTAGGATCATTAAAAAAAACGTGGTAATTTCAGATACTAAAAAGTTGCACCCTTTCACACATCGTTCTTTCCACCCACACGCAATGCCTTATATTGAATAAACACACCAACTGAAACGAGGCTGGATGGACATGCCGTCCAAACGATTCCCATCAACTTTGGAAGGGTTACTCGATCCTTTATGTTAGGTCAATCAAATTATAGACCTCACATTTTATGAAGGAATTCTGAAGTAACTCTGTCAATGTAAAATGGACAATGTAATCGGCAACCAACTGTCCCCCCATTTGTTTTTGGCATGTTTGTAAGTTCCCTTTATGGGAAATAGTACATGTGATTTGTTGGTTTCCTTTCTCACGTGAGGATGTCCATAGTGTAGAGTAAATCACCGTCAATCACTTTGAGGTCACTGATTACGTGTGCAATGGCTATTGCTCGTCGAACAGCAACGGCACTACACGTTTGTAAACCAGATGCACTCTCAAGAGAACTTGACGTAAATGAATACAATTTCAAGGGTGACTAATAATTGGTTCGTATGAAACCGACTGGTTGCTTTGGAATTGCCATTTAGTTGCCTTTAAGACGTTGCACCAGTGACCCCAACAATTCTTACTCAATTTACCTGGCTATGCACATTCGAAAGATCACCGAACTACTGATTTGAGAACAATTTCGGCACTGCACGAGCTAGCATTAACTTGCTAACAGCAGACTTCCGCTATCTTAGTTACCCAGTTGATCCTTCGTCATTGAACACCATCAAGAGTCACATTTGTCCTAGACGATGAATTCGTCGTGTAAATAAAGCATGAGCTGAAAAGCTTGGAGGCACTGGACAGCTATTTCGACCTGGCTGGGTCTCGCCATTTGTTCCGCCAAATAATTTCTAAGGTGTCTTTATGAGTTTAGCTTAACAAACTATTGGCGAAAAATTCTAATTTTGTTCCCTCGCAGAAGTTTACTGTGAGAAAGTTTAATGTTAGTCGCGAGATGAACACCAGTTTACTGTGGCGTCACGTAAGGTTCCATAATGCACCTCACGCGGTTCATTCTTTACTTCGAGGATGATCTATACCACAATCCGACCCATTCGTGACATCGCCCAAGAAACCACCGTACATAGTTTTCTTACTTGCAAACGCCCTATGCTTCCACTATTACCATCACCCTGGATTGACTATTTGTTTGTACTGCGCTCATTTCAGGCAATGAATGCAATGGCTGTGTCGAACACCTAAAACCAAGTCGTTTTGAACGCTACTGGAGGCTCGCGTGCTCAAGTATCCCGCCAATGCGCATCCAGTGATTTTCGTCTGCAATTTGTATAAATAGCTCACTTGATTCACCAACTTTCATAATTGAGCTTGGCTGATCTAATCTGTTTCCATCTTACTGTTGAACAGATATCCGATGTTTTACAGAATATTTTCTGCGATTTCTGAAACCAATGAATTTCAATTTTATCTCCCTTAATCCTTCTGTGAAAGGCACAGAGAAATCCCACAAACATCTAACCTAACCGTGATCGAGGCGGGGCTCTTTTCCGCCATTCAGGTTTTGAACCGTTTTCACTATCTTTGCGACTCAATACTAGAATACGCTATTTAGTTACATGCTCATGGCCGTGCCTTCATCTCATTATTCCTTCACAACGTTATACTGGCACGGATTTGCCGCATTTACATTTGCCTTTAAAAATCAACCACTTGGTCTTCGAAACCGCTATCAAATGACTTCCAAATTTCTTCGGAAAGTTGCGATCAATATATCTGTTTTCCAAGAACCGTGAAATAGTGTTACGTCTTTCTTCGCAATATTTTCCTCCATTCAAAAGCTGTTGCTTCAGTTAAATTTTCACCCGATGTGCAATAGCCTACATGATTAAGGGATTAATTCCTTTACATTATATCATGGGGGAAATGCATTAAAGTTATCATTGAATCCATAGGTCTCTGAATCGTTCACAATATTTGTTTACTTAAAATGGTCTTACGTCATTCTCTCCGCCTATCCATGGTTGTTTTTCTAAATCAATTTTCTTCTGCATATCATGACATCTTATAAATACCACCTTCAGTGCTCATTAATGAACGATGTCTGTGTTCCTTGTCGATCAGGTAGGCAGCTGCAAACAACAGCCAGATTGGGTTAGGGCATGTCATAGATTACATTCTATGCAGACAACAAATCCAATGAAATAGCGACAGTCAACGGGGAGTGGAAAGATCGATTGACTTTCCGAGACATGCAAAACTTTTCGGTGTATGCGTGTGTACTACTTTTGTCCCACTTTAGCAAAAGTGCATGCGTCAAAGTTGTCTAATATTTAGCGGAAAGTTCGGCTGTTGGACATTATGCGGCACAGTAACGACCATCGGAAACTGATAAAATCAATAAGGTTTTGGTAGGTGTAACATAGCACTATGCCCCAGGTGTTCATGCTTGTATTTGACAATATCTGTGATTCTAACTGCACCAAAGCATGGTAATCAACATTTAGATGCTATCAGTATATTGAATTTTCTACATAAGCAGGTTTTCTACAGTGATCGAAACCATGTGAAGTTGGAGTCAACTCAAAATTAGGTGAATGCTAATCCAATAGCATTGTTAATGACAGCAGATAACATAACAATCAGTAAAGGTTTCGGTTTCTCTTGCACATTTATCTTGGTTTTCAAGTTTGGTGAATCATCAAACTGATCATTTCCATAAAGTAAGAAGAGGTGCTAGTTTGGAAAGGACCGAACTCGATCAGTTTTCACTGATCATAGCTGCACATTCGTTCCAAGATATCCAGAAAAGCGTAGCAAATTAACGCAGTAACGTAAGATTTTACGTGTTCCTAGTCAGTTTCAGGTAACACTGTGAATCTACCTCCCGGATCGCGTTTCTACTAAACGAATAAATACAATCACAAAAGCGTTTTTAACTACCAGGGCACTTACTACTTCGGGCGGAATAGGCACTGTCCAGACTGGAGTTACTCGGGGTGTAGTTGGATTCCCGATCGGCCGTATTTATTGCATCCGCTGTGACCCGACACGTGTTGTTTGCACAGTTCCGGTGTGAATATCCGGCCAAATGTTTCGCGTTTACTGGGGCTCCCGGGGATTGTTGAAGCACCTGTACCCAAGCGGATAAATGTGCCAATTGACCTTCCATACAGGCAAGTCGAATCCTATGATGATTTGCAATCGATGTTGTTTGACGGAAACAGAAAAGCGATTATGTGTGGGTATTCAAACATGGAAACATGTAACTGTGAAGTGCCTAATCGGAAAGTGCTAACATTGCAAAATACAAACAGATGGTGACAAAACGATCACACTTTAGAAGGAAATGTAACCGTATAAAAGCACAATGCATGGAAAACCATTTAAACATCATTTAGTCACGATATGGTTTGAACATAACGAACATTTCTGTCCAACGCACTTGCTCACTACCGTGTCCAGGTTGATGGCCGTCTAATATTTGTGAAGAGAGATGGTGACCATGCACGCAGGAAGTAAGTAACTTGGTTTGTCAGCAACATTACAGAACCTTTAAATTCAACAAAATATTTTACCCCCAATGACTTGTTAGCGACATTCGAAGCAACCTAAGGCGCACAAAATGGGTGTAGTTTCTATGGTTATATTCTGTGTATTCTTCATGTTTTACGAACATGAGAAATCCAGAATACACCTCCAGGTTTTCTACTCAGTGGCCAGTCAACATTCAGTTATTTTTGTTGCAGCGTTACAGAAATTTCAATAATTCATCCCGGTGAACATTATGAATCGTTAAAAGCACTTCATCCCACTTGATCTTCAAATGCGACTGATTCCACCGGGGAGTAAGGCATCAATAAGGAATGATAGAAGGTACTTTTGCCACCTTACATGGGAATGCTTGTAAATTGCATCGATACATTCACCGTTTCCATCAGAACGGTACTGGAGTTCAAATGGCGAAAATGCGTTTAGAAAAAAACTAGAAAAAGCCCACACATTTTTTCATTGGAGGTTTCAGTATTGATGTCATTGGTACAGCCAAGCCTTGTTGTTTCCTTGATTGTGTAAGACGAACCATTTGCGGGACATAGCATAGAAAAAAAGTCATCGGACAAAACCAGAACGCGCATTTGAAGTGATGGGGTTTGAGTCATTGAATGGGTCTGCATATTCGACATTTTCTTGATTTTCTTCTCACAAACACGGTGCAGAAATGAAAGCGGAATAAGTTTTCAATTAACTGCCACCCTAAAATCTTCATTGGACAAACATAGATCAATAAGATTGTGATGCATGGCTTGATCATTCACTATCGTCATTTCTGTAAGTGCCATTTGATTAAGCCTAAAACCCTCTCCACAATAATAATCAACAGCTATTTCTTCTCTTTAGGCACGATAATAAATAATTTAATATTAAATTGGATCTACGTATCGTTTGTAAACTTTTATTTCATCGAATAAGCCAGTTCATACATAAAACAGGATTTTGAAGTATCACTTTACGCAAGAAGACAAACCTCGCCTCTGGCACAGTGGATTGTGTTCGAGAAGAATCGGTCAAACTTGGAGGCGTTGTGGATGTGAGTAGCACATCCGGGGGCGGCTTTTGTTCGACCAAAGTAACTGGTTGGGGAAACGAACCGGTAATAGAGTTACTCATTGCAACCGTGGCCGAATTGGCCATAGCGGAGGTCGTTGTGGCAACCGTGGTGACCGCTGGAGTAGCAGTGACAGATGAGATCCCAGACGATGCCATGGCTAACGAGGAAGTTGGAACAAGTATCCAATGCGCACCGGGTGGCAGTCGAATTGCATTGGATCCGCTGAGGTTAGCTGTGGTATGTGGTGTTGTTGTTGTTGATGTTGTGACGGTAGTGGTGGTGGTGGCCCCCGAGACTATATTGGTTCCTGCTCCGGTAGTAGTTGTTAATAATCCGTCACCAGACAGCGCTAAACTGATGGTGTTCCCAGCAGAAATCAATGTACCGGGACGGTTAGATGTATTTGGAGCCAGTTGCACTGTCGCATTTGCCGGGATAAGCGCACGTAGATTGTGCAATCCTAACTGGATAGGGACTGACCGTACCTCACCGTCAGTCCGTTCCCGAGTTTGACTGATAACGTGCCCCTCCAAAAGAGCTATTCGAATGGGTTATCGAACGGGCAAATCAAAATAACACAAGGTATATTAAAATATTCTTTGTATTAAAAACAGTAGGCAATGAATAACAACCAAATAGAAAAGGAAAATCCGTTGACGGTGGTAATGCATGTATACATACATATATATTTACATGTACATATATCATTCTCACTATGTTGAATCAAAAGTGGCTGGATAGTACACACCATAAAGATGATTTCAATGTGTCTATTGGCGGTCAATTGACCTCATGCTATCGAAGTGCTGTTCTCATGAATTATGTCCAACACTACAGTATCTGCATTAGGAAAACTTCTTGTTTGCGTAAAAACTGTCAATTTTCCTGAGCGACACTTTTTTTTTACTTTTACCTCCATCCGATTCATATATCTACATTTGATTTTGATCGGTTTCCTTGGTTTATGGAAGTTTAGCAAAATAAATAAATGATCTAGCAAAGGCATCATCCAATTTTGAATGATACCCTCAGCGGCATTGACCCTGGGACGTATAAACTAAAAATGGCTGATCGTAAGTCTTTAGTTCACGTACAGCAACAGAACGCTAGCTTCCAGTGGTATCGTACAACTGACCACCTGCACTTATGCGCATTTCTAACTTCGAATATCAACTTTTGACTCTTTCAAGTGACTTGTTGCCCAACATAAAAAAGACAATCTAAGATGGTGATTTGTAAACTACCAAAGACGATTGAACTGATGCTTTGAGCACATACGTATGCCATTACCATGGGCTGTAAAGATTAGAACACAACATCGTTGTTCATCACTAAACAATTAGGGCCATGTAATTACAACAGGTTCATAGGCAATTTCTTTAATTTGAATATACCAGAAAGGTATCAAGCTCAGATTAACCCATTCGATTGATCAGATGCACCAGGCACACTTCGGTCCAGAAACCTGAAAAACATACATTATGAACGGAGGCATTCAAAACAAAACAAAAGCTATCAACTTGCTTGGAAGTAACACATATTCACAGAAGGAAATCAGGAGGTGCAAAATATGTTGGGTTCCTCACCACCGGTGAAGTTCAATGAAATCTGGCTATAAACTCGGAATGTTGGAAACTATTTATTTTGGAACTACACGTCAAATGGCCACTGAAGAGCTTTGATTACATATGTCTAAACGTCGTATATTTAAACAGCGTCGTCGTATCCATGGATCGAACATTAATTTATTCCTATTTTTACCCTGCCGATTAGTTGCGTTGCGATAAACTGAGGAATTTGTCGTGCATGTTTAAACAGGAGGAGAAAAGTGGACAGCTAAAATAAAAATTCGCTTGACACTGAGCAGATTGAAGAACGGGCCTGGCTATCGGAGCTTCAGGTCAAATCAATTTTTAATCCGTCTGCATTGTTTGATATTACAAGGAAGAAACTGATTATCCCACTAATCTATTTCCACAACAGATAAAAGAATAACCGATTGTTTTTATTCTCATTAGGTTGCTTTGGAACAACATGTTTTAGTAGAACAAAGATGTTCTCTGATTTAGGTATACCAATGTTATATACAAATGGGTGATGCACAGTACTTTAATATGTAGGCGTACACAATTACTGGCACTGAATGAAAGGCTTTTGTCTTCTCAAATTTGACCTAATTGCATACTGTTAATCTTTCACTCTGCTCTTCTGCGAACTCAGTCGACCGTTTTATTGTTTACTCATCGAGATAAGGGTCCAAAAGTGATGTACGTATTTGGTGGCTGTTTGTGTCACTGTTCACAGTTACTTGAATTTTTTTCGTTTTCATATTTACTTCTTTTCATTGGATGTACATTGACACAATTTTCAGGAAGGGGAAGAGTCCAATGAAAAGGCTGCAGTACACAACACAATGGAAAAGCCAGACGACGGAGGTGGTGTAATTGGAACACACGTTCTCCGGGATGATAATTTGGTGACATGAACTCCGTACCACCACTTTCGTAATTAATACTTTCATTTTTTGCAGGATGGATGCGGGCAGAATGATTTAGGTCTAAAGGAACTGAAATTACTAGGCAGTGATTGATGCCAATCGATAACCGCATTCATCTAGTTGGAGTTGCTTCCCAAGTGCAAAACCTGTAGCATATCGTTTTGATTCTGGATGCTCAAGGTATACTGTTATTTATCACTTTGTGTTGTTAATACACTTGTGTGCATGCAGAAGAAGGGAGATAAAGCTCCGGATGTGTGCGCCGTTTCTTGGTGTTACTAAAGCCATTCAAATTGAAAATTGTGATATTTAGCTATATATGTTCATTTATTCATGCATACTTCATTCTTCCAAGCCTGGAACTTGCCGAGCCACAGGTCAAAAATGGTCAGTAACTCGGGCATAATGTCCCATTGCGAATTGTCATGGGAGGCGTGTATTGGTTCAAAGGTGGCATTGTTGAAGTAACACCTTGCGTCGAATGTCTTCAGTTACGGACGATTTCTTTGCGATTACAGAAAGTAAGACACTGAATAGGCCAAAGATTCCACTCTGAATCTATCACAGCTATCCAAAAAATGTAACAGTTTATGTCAGTCTGCTTACGTGTAATATTGCTGTTAGTTTCCACAATGTTTTTTCTTCTAATGATTAGATCGCTGTCACCGAATTACGTAGATGGTGATTTCTTAAAAACATCATGTCCAACGTTTGGACTTCATCTATTGGAAATAAATTACATGTGGTTAAATACACTTCGAGGTCTTTGTATAAGACTGAGCTTTGGAACTATCTAATGGGTGAAGACATTTGGTCCAATTCCAGATGTATGGTGGCTTAATAATGTGATAATCGAATTCACAAACAAATCTATCCCCGTTGGCTATAGATTTCATTTCAGTGTCTCCTTTTGTTTCGGTGAGGGTTTTACGGCTTTACCAACAGAACAGAAGAATTTATTCTCCATTGCTAAAGGATCTTATTCCTTTGGTATGTGCAATCACCAACTGGTTTCCTCATCAAATTGAATTACTGTCTGTCACAGCTAGACAGACTGTACGGACCAAACATTAGCCCAATTACTGTTGTCACTTTAGCGGAAAGACCGAACACGGTCACCAAGTTCCGTAATGACTAGAGGGAAACCGAACCACCGGATTAGTTATGCGAATGGGTATAATGTGATTTAACCACATTTACGATTTTTTGGATTTTGCATGAAATTCACCATTACTAGCGTTGAGATATAATTATGCAAAACTAATTGTTCTTGTGGCTAATTTAATTGTAAGCAGATGCAAAACTGTTTGTTTCTTGGTTATCCACATTATTCTCAACACAAATGACGTTTCACGTTTGAAAGGTAGATTGCCAGTAATCACCGCATAAAAAACAAAGACCGCGCCCCCAATATACTTCACAGTGGGACATAGTGATAGAAACCATGTCTGAACAACTAGGCACAAGATTGTCATTTCACCATCGTCCGCACCGCTGTTATACAATAGCGGAAAAAAGGGCTATAGGGCATTGTTTGACGTTTTCAGATGCACATTTAAAGGCATTCACGCAACTTTGTGCATTTCCTCTTATACTTTTGTCTGCGGACACTCATTGTATATTCGTATACATATGTGTATGCATATGTGTAAATCTTTGTATATACATTCATTTATCCTAGATGCCTGAATACCTAACAGCAAACTAACTTGCTAATAGGCTAGTTCCGTGTAATGTGTGACAAGATGCTCTTTGGATGATTGAGCGTACTTCATTAGTAATCCCCGCACGTCCTGAAATTTCAGCCACGGAAACTGAACGCACCACTCATCATCATCATCATCATTAGCAGCAGCAGTATCATCCTCTTTATCATCACACAGCGAGATACAGTGATGGGAAATTCGCTGATCGCTGTCACGTAAAAATACTAGGTGATGAGGAACCTAATGGAGAGGGAGTAGTGCTAACTGGAGGGCGTGAAAGAGTGTGCAGTTGCATGTTCAACACAGGGGCAAAAGCAGTATAGGCATAAACAGCTTTTCAAGCATTTGGATGAAAACAAGAACGAAATTTCTGTCGGTTCGCTGTCATATTCTTCAATGTCTGCAACCAATCAGTTGTAGAGTCTTTCGGACTCAAACTTGGACGACGGGAGACACCTATTCTTAATTACTCTGTGCAGTTATTCATGCCCTATTTGAACATTGTATGCTAATCACCAAGTGACTTCCTTCAACTTTGAGCAGCAAATGATATAAGGCGATGTGTGGTAAATAGTAAATGGGCATCAGGAATACAAGTCTTAAGAATCAAAGCTCATTAATCGGAATCTGATAGGACAAGTAATTGTCCGTCGAATCACTGCCAAATATACAGCAGCGTACATTGCAGTTGCTTACACGCTCGCTCCATCCATCTCGAGCAAAACTACGTTAACATCGACAGCAGAAGACTTCAAGACAACAAATATCTTTCATGCGTAAACTTAAGGTCTCACAGCCCTGAAGCAGGATTAACCAAATGCTGGCTTAGTACACGCGAACCTTCATTTTCAAGGAAACATCTCGTCGGTAGTGATGAAATATGACACTCAATGTTCAATAATTTGAATTGAAAAGGGTCTCCTATCACTGAGTAGCGAAGACGATTTCCTAT